AGAAAAAATATATAAAAGTTTATCTCATTTCAAATGCGAACTCGATTTAGCAGGAGTGATAAAGACCTAATACATAACTACAGATGGACCAATTTTGTCACATATATTTTTACTTTGCTGCTCGGTTACCCATTTTGGTCCCTTTCATTCTTATCTCTGAATTCTGATAAAGACTGTTCCCAGATTACTTCGCGATTTACGTCTAAGCTTATGCTATAGCAGTTTTCAACCTAACTACCACTATATGAACGCCCTTTAGTCATAGGCCAGATAGAAGCACGCAGTGTCAGAAGAGCGTGACAGGAAGTACCGCTGCATGTTTCACAAAGTCCACAAGGACGGAATAGCGTACTAGGCCGTTCCACGTTAAGGCGCACAGCCTCATAGTAGAAGCTTCCTGATCAGGGGGACTAATGCCTGCGTATAGAGCGAGGAAGGGAGGCTGGGGGAGGGAAGAGTGGCTGTTCTTTCTCTCATTTTTTAACGCGCACGACGACACGTGCCCGCGTTCGCGGCCTGGCACGAGCGCGTGCGACGCGCATCAAAGTGCAGAAGAAATAGACCAATGCACAGAGTGCTGACCCGCATTTGTAGCGCAAAAACATCGCCATCCACGCAGTTTTTATCGCCTGTTGTAGGGTGAATATCGCTGGGGTACGCCTCTTCGCATAACGTAAAAAATCACCCGATGGTAGAAAAGAAGTGTGATGGCGCAGGCCGGCCGCCCGCTCCCTTGCTGTGTTCTCATGTCAGCAACATCGTTGCGAACTGAGCCTTTGCCACAGCCGCCGTCAGCCAATCAGCGATGTATGTCTAGTTACGGTAGGTCGCTGTGGCCGCCTAACCATATATGACACAGCAAAACATAATTCGACGGACCATAACCTGAGCACGGTATCATCATGCTTGCCAGGTATGATTTTCCATGGTTTTTTGAAATTTCCTTTATTCTCCCTGTTTTAAAGTTTGATTACGGCGGCCGCGTCATATGTCTAACCATTTGCTTTAAGTTTTCCCCTTTGGCTCCATGAGAACGGATGATATATGGCAATTATTCAAATGTTAAAATTGCACTCTATTTGTAAAAGAATTTTTTCCAATTTCATAGATTACCAATACTTTTGAAGCTGATTCTTGGTACTCTTTCGTCTTCGATGTGCTTTTTTGTTTTTATTCTATGCCGCTTGCCTACTTTCACATTCTCACCTTTCTCATTCTCCATTTCAATTTTAAAAAATTCTATATCAATGTTTAAAACGATCTGAGAGCATATATTGCTACGATTTACCTTTCATGAATCTTTTCGCAGCTTAGTAATCTTTTTCCCATCCCCAGCAGTACGGCCTTTCAGTATCATCACCAGTTGCACTTTTCCGCTCAATGATCCGGGCACAAGTTTTTTCTGCTGCATTCGTCGGCGTACGTGTATGTCGTGAGTGTAGTGCTGCTAGTCCCTCGCTAAAGATAATTTCTCCCGCCTGCCTGGCTGCCATCGTTGGCATCGCAGGCATACACAATATGACGAAGGTTGTCGCAAAGTGTTTTCATTTACTTTACTTTTTTGGATCGTTGGCTTACTAATGAAGAGACAAGGCTAAATGTATATCAGGAACATGTGATTTTCAACATACCTGCATTTGCACTTTCATTTGACGCCATTTTCTACTTGCTTTTCTTACTGGTTCTTGCACTTCATTTGCTTCCTCTTAGGTTTTCATATCTTAAGTAAAATCACAGATAACCCTGCAATTTAGCCCCATTCTTACATCTCTCTCAGCAAAATCTTTCTGAAGCACACAAGCTTTTATTCATCTTTTCACCTCTCCTTCTTACTTTATGTATTTTCGTTTCTTTCGCCGTTTTTTTCCTTGGTCAGATTGATCCAGGCTTTTTGAACGATTTTCGCATCACGCCCGAGCGACTACTCCTCCGAGCCCCACCGCAGCGCAGCGAAGTTCGTTCACAGCTTTTTCAAGTTTTGAAAGTTGCTTCGTTACAACTTTTCACTCAATCGCCCCCCTAAAATGAACGAATGATTTTTTGTCCTGTGTTTATTTATTTTGTTATAGCTGTATTAGATTTTACAGACTCGAGAGTGCAAATATTTGTCATAGAAATATTTTCCTTATTGTCTTCATGTCTTCATTTCTACCTTTGTTGTCTCCTATATTCGTGATGTTACTTCATAGTAGCTACAAACATCTACTGCTATTGACAATTCAAGCATGGGTTAGTCTGGAACCTTTTTCAGTCCTGCTCTGCTTGATGCAAGTGTTTAATTTAGATGTGCTAAATAACGAAACTTACAATTCATTTTACATACAGCTGGTCATCAAGTTGAATCTCGCAGCTTTCAAATCTTTTACTCTTAGTACATCCGTATAATGTGTAAAGCCAGAAGCTTTCTGCTCTTTATTTTCGTAGCAACTGTTTTTCAGCCTATATAAATATAATAGAGTTAAGTTTGCTAACTTTTACACCTGCAATCTTTTTTTAAAGGCTGTTTTGCTTCTTCAATTCTGGAATTTTCTTCTGGAATAGTGGTTAGATTTCATCTTTGGTCTAGTTTTTCATCGCCTATCATGCTTGGTTTGAATGCACGATGTGGTTCTTTTTTCTTCTTTTTGCGACTGTTCAAAAAGTCTGCAAAAAAGTGGCTTTCGCAGAAGTTCCTCGTTTGTAGCATTATCTTTAAAAAACGACAGCGTTTTTCCGAGTTTTGGTGTAGTCGGCTGGATGTACATATTCTGAATATCGTTCAGTTTTTCGCACCACATGTTTTCATGTACGAATGTCCACCATTCTTTAGCAGCTTTATATTTTGCGACTCTCATTCTAAGTCGCAAAAGACTTCTGGCTCGTTTGCAATCATTGTAAGCTTCCACCTTGAACAGCACTTGGTTTGGTTTCATCCATTGAAACACTTCATCCTTCCCATCAAGACGGACTTTTTTCTAGCAATCAAAACAACAAAAAACA